GTCAAGCGACGCGCGCTAAAATTTAAATAAAGGACAATTGCGTTCGGAAAGAGAAAGAGAGAGAGGGGAGGGGGAGAAACAGAGAAAGCATACCTCTTGCCATCGTTACTGGCAGTTTCCTGCGATAACCCCGGCATTATATGTATTCGTCCGCGTCCCCGGCGAACAGGGAGTTAGCTCATAATGGTCCACAATGACTGGGCCAACATTACAAATTAGGCTCGGTTACGCGTTTATTGCCGATTCCGGTTCGGGGGCAGCGGCGTCGGGTGCACTTTTCCACGTCGACGTCAACATCGGGGTGTAATCGACGACCGGGTATCTGCGACGCCACTGCCGAGACGAGAAGTATTAGCATTGGTTAGCTTTATGGAGCGTTCAGTTCCGCCGTTTTCTTTCTCTTTCTCTCTCTCATTCCGATTTCCTAGCCCTCACTATTTCGACACAGCGAGATAAAGAGAGAGAGAAGCAGGGAGAGAAAAAGAGAGAGAGAGAGAGAGAAAGAGAGAGAAGAAGATAGCAGCCGTGGTGCAGATCAATAAAATCTGTCTGTCTAGAAAAGTAATACCAAATCGGTGCTCCCCAGAAGAAATGCCACAAAAGAAGCGGAACAACGAGTAATGGTTTAAACTTCGTCGCTAAGTTGCCGATTTCACTGTCAAGTTTCCGCTGCTCGCGGGGAATTGCGGAAATGATTATCTCGTTCGAGGAAATATTATCAAAGGGGAGAGAAGAAGAAATATCGAGATTATATTCCGAAAGGGATTTTCTTAAACGAAGTATTCGACCGAATGCACATAAACATACACACACACATACAGATGCATACATACATATAGTATTTACACAAAAATAGTACCAGCTACAAACATTGAGAAAATGATAAGAGATTGAAAATATATGCTGTCTGAATAAAAAAGAAAATTAATCGCCACCAATTTAGATAATGAATAAATATTACGTGGAATATTCGGAGTCCTTTTGCAAGATTATTGATGTACGAATTCTTTTTTTCTTTCCCTTTCTCCTTGAAATGACTGGCGAGACTCCGAGGGGGAGGGTGAAAATTGGAGCGCGATTATTAATCAATTTCCGTATTAATTGTTTTCTGGACGGCAAGCTTAAGTGGTATGTTGTGTTCTGGTTCTTGGCAAGCTATACCCTGTAACCAGCTAAAGTGTCATGCGAGAAGATTAATTACGTCTACGACTACGTTTTACGTGTGTCATATGAACGGATACTCTTCTTCGGCCGTTCGAACTATGAAGTAGGCGAGGTTACGTAAAATCAGTTTTCAAGAAAATCATCTAAGAAAGAATGCTTTCAGACGTAGAATATAATTATATATATGTTGAAAGTTTTGGGGGTGCAACGAGTAGAGACGTAAACAGAAAATAATTAATAAATTATGTAAATATGAACTATAATGTAAATAGAAGAAAACAAATATCTTTTTATAAAAATTAAATTAATTATTTTTTTGTGAAAAAAATAAATCTCGGTTTTTTCAAAGTTTCATTTTTTTCCATATTTAACATCTTTATATTTTGATTGCAAGAATGATTTTTCATTATTATATATAATAACTTTTTATTATTTTTCATTTTTGATGATAAATTTGAATTAATCATTACTATTTTAAATATAGATCACTAGAAAGGTAGATTCTAATTGACTATATAACTATGTAATTACTAATTTTAATTAGGCAAATTCTCCAAAAACAAATCAAAATTAAACTTGAATGTACTATCTTTATGATAGATACAAAATAGTTTATAATATATACATAGTGTTTATAGTTTTTTAAAATGTATTTTGGTTACTCTATTCTAATATAATAAAAAACACTAAAGTTGAAGTTCTTATATTTTTAACTAATTTTTTTTCGAAAATAATTTCAATGAATTTATGAGATTTTTGCGGTTAAAATGATACTAAACATGATATAATTCGATTAATTTTCAATTAAACGTGTAATAAAAAATGTTGTTACACATTTAATTAAAAATTATTCGAATTATCATATTTAATGTAATTCACATAATCTCCTTAATTCATTAACATTACTTTTAAAAAAAGATAAATAAAAATATAAGAATTTTAATTTTTTTATCAACCAAAGAATATAAAAAATGTAATGTTATATAAAAATAATGAAAAAATCAAATCTATTTTTCTTTCAATGAAAAGAAATATTTTTTTCAACGGTTGTTTTTCATTAAAAAAATGTATCTCGCCGCTTTCTTTACATCTCAAGCGACGAGATACATTAGATCTAAATTTATATCGATTGTAATGAAGAATTAAAATATGTAATATAAATATTAATAATTTAGTACAATAAAATACTTATATATAAAAACGAGAACCGTTTTTTTTTCGTAATTGAATCTATCATCAATTCATAATGAGCATCTTTAATCTATTTATATTCTTAACCATATTAATTACAGAAGAATTTGTTTGAATAATATTTCGTTAAAATATCTGCGAAAAAAATGATTACAATATGCAATTATATATATATATATATATATATATATATATATATATATACTGAGAAAAAATCTGGTTGTATTAATTAGAAATCTGGTAAATTCAACCAGTATGTCTGTTGGAAAATAGACGAATCAAAATTCCTTTAGGAATTGCCAGATGAATATGATTAATTTCTTCCTGTTAAATTTATCAAATCTTTTGGATGATAATACTATATTTACAAAAAATGGCATCACTGTGTCTATGTTTAGTTAATAAACAAGACGTTTTATAGATTCAACTAGAAAATACTAATTAAATCCTTATAGTGCATAAAACATTCTAGTTATAAAAAATCGAGTCTTATCGTGATAACTAGAAATTCTTAATTTCTTCTATCAGATACGTCTTATATGGTACAATTAAACGATTTTTCTCAGTGTGTGTATATATATATATATATATATATATATATATATTGTGTGTATTTTTCTAAACTGGAATGGAAACTGGCTAGTCAGGGTAATGATAACGGGTTGCGATACTTTTGGCAACTAAGCATGAATCTTGTAAGGCAAAGGTCTCTCATCAAGCGTCTTTCTCAAAGCAAACTTTATCATTTCTCCGAACAAACATGACTTGTCGATTGTACTTAACAACTGTCGGACTCCCTCTTTTGCAAGGGAGGAAAGGGAGAAAAAGGGTACATGAAAATAAAAGAGATCCGCGGGAATGAAATTTTACCAGTACTCTCGAGCCACGCGAAAGAGCCAAGTTAGTTTTATTTTACAATCCATCAGTTCCCGCGACACGCAGGGGTGGGCCTCGTCCTTTGGTGATGGCGCGGTCGAAGAGAGACAGAAGGGAAGGGGTGGGAGAAAAAAGAAAGAGAGAGAGAGAGAGAGAGAGGGAAAAAGGCAGAGGGAGAAATCCTTCAGGATGGTTGGCCGGGGGTGGAACGGCTGTCAACTAGTGTTTTAAAAGTTTGCGACAGCCTACAAATTGACTCGCTCAGTTCTTTTTAAAAGCACCGGCAACCAACCACGTCGCGCAAGCCCCCGTGTCCCTGGCATCAGGATCGTGTCGACGACTCTGAAAAATCCAAAAGTATTACCTCACCGCGTAGTTAGACGATTTTCGTTCAACAAATATATTTATTTCTGTCTTTTCTTGAACTTATTTTAATCTATTCTCTTTATTAAACTAATTTAATGTATTTGATCAATTTTCTTGGTATAAAAAATTTGTTTGTGGGATAAATTCTTAAAGATAAGACAATTATATTACACAAATTTTGCACTATATGTAAAAATTTTATTTTCTTTGCGTATCTTGCAATATTAAATATATCATTAAAAATATGCACGTATACATAAACATTTATATTTTATTTTCTAATTTATATTAATTTATTATTAATTTTGAATACATTTTAAGTTACAATTAATTAAGATTTATTAAATTCCTATGTTTGAGAATAAAATAAAAAAGACTTGTTAAGATTATAAAAGTAAACTTTTATACGAAAACATATAAATAACTTAGAAAAAGAGACACTTAAATATATATACAAAGTTACGGAAAGTTTTATATCATTCTATACTTATTCTTGAAATATTGAATGAAAAATTGCCAATATATAATAGCTTATGTACCATTATTAAAGTATATATCTTTGCATAAATAACGAATTTATTATACGAAATCAATACGACAAAATATCTGTAATAAATTGTATCGAGAGTCTTCCTCTCCATCATCTATTGTACGCTCGATCACTATTCTTAGGAATATTGTTGAAAAGTTGGAGCTATTCTCGGATAAATCGACTTCCATCCGAAGAGACGATCGATCCTACATAGTGAATATGTTTGCGTGCGATCCAAATCCAGGAAATTTAAAAGTATTTCGATGTAAAACGCGACCGTTTCTCATATTTTTTATGCAAGTCGAGGGCGCGTTTGATACACTCTATTAGTCGCCTCTCCCGACTGATTTATGTGTAGTTTTACTCTCTGCATTATTATACATCTCCCTCATCTCTGGCTTACCGTAGCGAAGTTTAATAGCTCGCGAATATTCCATTAGATAGAAGAAATGTATCAAATAGTCTGCCGATCTAAATTTTCGCAAAAATATTGTAGCTTACGAAAATAGAGATAGATTAAAATGAGCTCACAAACATATTTTATATACATTTCGTAAAAGATTTCTACATGTTTTATCTCTAAAACTCGCACTGGGCAGTGATTTAAAATTAAATTCTAATTTAATTTTTTCCATTTATCTATATTATTTATCTTTAATAAAATTTTATTTTGCCGAGAGAGAGAGAGAGAGAGAGAGAGGAGAGAGAGAGAGAGAGAGAGAGAGAGAGTTATTTTATAGCAAACTTTATCATTTGGAATGAAGCTGCTATATGTCTCGCAAAATAATGTTAAATAAATTTACAAAGTAGTAGTACTTCTGTGAATTTTGTAAAAAATATTTCATCAGTTGTATAAAAGCATATATGCGTGAATGAATTTATTAATCGACAATATTTATAATACAAAAAGGAATCTAAAAAAAAACATGCTATATGTAAATAGTGTAATCTCTTTCTCGAATTATAATATCAATGAGTATTCACTCGTTATTCGCGATCAAGAGCAAAATCCCTTGGATTTTCTATTTCATATGCATTATGCGTTTCTTTAAATATCCTCCTCAAGTTTATAAGTTTTGATAATAGCTCAATTTTATAAGTTTTGATAATAGCTTTATGAGATTTTATTAAGATCCTTTAAGAATTATCCAGTTCTTCTCGTAGACTTTTCCTGTTAATTGGATGGAATCGTCGGCGATCGCGGTGATTCGAACATGGAAAAATTTTGTGAGAGAAATGACGGTGACTTCAAACCACTGTTATTCGTGAGTGATACTGATAAAGGATCTGGCAACCTTGATTCGCACTCCACATGATGCTGCTCCTCCTCGTACAATTGTTTTCGAGCTGCTTGCACAATCGTCCACAAATAGATGCTTAAAACTGAAATTATTGTCAAGCGTATAAAATGTTCTTTTACGTAAAATATTCCGTTAATATTTAGAGCGCTTTATGAAATTTGAAATTAATTTGCCTTTATGAAAGAGATTTTTCGCACATTATTATTTTCAAAAAATTTATAACGGAGAGTAAATATTTTTTCTATTCAAATACACACACACACACACACACACACACACACACACAATACAATACATACAATAACAGTAGAGAATATAAATCGATTATATTCATCTAATCTGTTTATTTAAATTTGATTTTCGCAGTAAATATACATTGCAGTTGCTTATTTTAATTATGTTGGAAATTAGATATATCGAAAGTACAATTAATTGTGTCAAATCATCAAGAAAAAATCATCAATTGTGTCAAATCATCAAGAAAATTATATTTGACATAAAAATTATATTTGAACTAAAGCAAAATATAAAAATAAAATTTCTAGTTAAATTCAATTTCTTCAATGATTTCATAAAATTTTTAGAAACATTATTAAAAACAAAGAATGATATTTTGATAGCAAAAAGTGAGCGAAGAGTTGATTCTCCTTTTTAATGCAATAAGATGTATAATATATTTTTCGATTAATGTTTAATAATATATATATTTTTCGATTAATGTTTAATAATATTTAGAACAGTTATATTATTTTTTATTAAATTTTTATAAAATATATAACCTAACATTTAAACAAATATTATAATATTATAATATTTTTTGGAATATTGTATGTGTACATACATACATACATGTACATGTATGTATATAGATATGTATATATGTATGTATATGTATGCAAGCATGTATATATTTACTTTAATGTTAATTGGAACTGTTAATAGAAAGTTGTAAAGTTTTAATTTGTTTGAAATGATCATTGTGATTGATTTGTTGATAATGATCACTGAATGATATTCTCTCAATTTTTTTTGTTAATCTTTTGTTAATTTTTTTTTGTTAAATAATTTAATTTTGTAATCAAATTGAGAACAATTATTATTTGCATTTCTAAACATAAAATTTATAAGGAATATAAATTCATAAGGATGATTTAAAATACATTTATGTTTAGAATTTAATGATAGGCAATTATGATTTAAAACCTTGAATTTTTTCATTAATTGTAGATAAGATAAAATTAGAAATATATTTGTACTTACTTAAATAGATGCTGCATGCCATGGATTTGGTTAAAGAAACATTTTGTCGATCCTGTATTATATGATCAGATAGCGCCACGATCTGATCTATTATGCTAATCATTTGCAAATACATCCAAGGCACGGCGTACTTATGTCTTCTCTGTGAACATATGCGGAAGTTAGCGTAGTCGTTAGCAAGCTGAGACAAGGCTGTTACGTGCCCGAAATACATTTTGCGAATAAAGAGCGTTTGACAAATTTGTATTCGATCGGCGATGAGGTCGTTATTCACGACCTTTATCGCGAAAGAGAAATAATCAAAATCATACACATTCACTTACTTATAAACAACGTATGCAAAAAGTTTTTTTAAAAGTTTCTTTAATGTTTAATATTTTTTTAAATAAAAAAAGCCGAAAATAAAATTTTAATAAATATTATGAATAATATTTTTTACATAATATTATTCATGATATTTATAAAAAATCAATCATTTATAATCAAAAATTAATGATAATACATTCAAAATTAGAGAAAAGAAGTAAAACATATGATATAGAGACATACATATAATGTAGACTTATATAAGATGTACATCTGTATTTATAAACAATGTATGCACAAAAGTCCTTTAATGTTAAATATTGTTTTAAAATTTAAAAAAATCACGATTTTTTTAGAATATTATTCATATGATATTGAAGGTTTATCTATTAATGGTTTATATTGAAGGTTTATCTATTATATATTCTGGTTTATAGCGGTACGTTCCACATTAAACAAAAAATATCTCTCTCTAAAGTTTTCTCTTTCTTCTTTTTTATTCGATCATTTATTTGATCATTCGAGTCGATTGACTCATAAAAGTCAGATAACTTTCCGAATATATGTATATGAGATGTTAATTTAAATTCTTATCAAATTATAAGCAGTTAATTAACAATCTATGATATGTCGAAATGCTTACCGAAAGCAATCCCAAGCAGAGATACGCACTGGCTGTCAGAAACAAAACGATGTATATTAGAAAGCACACCATGGCTGTTTGCACTGAAACATATGTCATTATCGTATTGTTTTCGTTTGCGGAGTATAATTCAAGCATCTTCGCGTTTTTTACCTTTATTCTGTAGATTTGTATATCTGAAAACTTGCATCCAATTTAATCCTAGTATTGCCCAAGTTTTGACGGATTCGAAAAAATCTTCATCCTTATTTCTTGAGAAGAAGTTGCTTACCAATACGTTTATCATTAGAATCGAGATGGACTAACGATAAAGAGACAAATAAATGTGGTAACGAAAAATGTAAATTTTCAAAATAATATGCGCAATTCTGTATTCAAATATTCGAACTAGCATTAATAAATTCCGTACACTATTGTAAACTTTATTTATTTCTTAAGAGAGAAATTTTTTCCTTTAGTTGTTCTGTTCATGTTTATAAAAATTATTAAAGCATAAAATAACAACAATGAAATATAATTTGATAATATTTATATATTTTTGTTTACACATTAAAATATAACTACTTCCTTGTTTCAATGAGCAATGCAGTATTTTTAACTGATACTGTAAATATCGCGATTATGAATTCCAAATATGCAAGATCACAACATTCATAGTTAATATCTTTGATATTTGCAATAAATATAGAATTAATGTTTTCCGAGAATACTCTTTTTTAATTACTTAGTCTTTCATCAACTGTCAATATCACTGTCAATATTCATACAATATGCAAATCGGATGCAAATCGGATGTGTGGACGTTACCTTCGAAATAAAAACGCACCAGATAAAGAATCACTTGCTCACCATCGTATATGCTCCGATTATTCTCGCTGCTGATGATACATCGATGCAGCAGCTCTTGCGAGTGACCATGCCGAGAACTTTGAAAATTCTTTTAGTCCGATCGCGTTGCTTTACAGACACGAAATGTCTGATTCCATCCAGCGCGATGGCATTCTACGCATTACCTTGCCAAACAACACACTTGCATGACATCTCATAAAAAATAAAAATAAACACGCTTGGTTGGAAGTAAATACGATCCTCGAAATTGATTTCACCGATAATTGTCAAATTGTTTGTTGATCAATGTGTTTTGATGTACATATGTGTACATGTGTGTGTGTGTGTGTATAAGATTGTTAAGAGTTTCTAATTCTCGCCTTGACTGTTTCAAAAAAGCATTAATAATTCATCATCGTAAATAATGATAATCGAGTTTGTCAGCATATTAACGCTACTTTATGCGAGCCTTTTCAACAGGTTTTATACAAAGTCTCTTTACCAATGTTTATCAAGCGGTTTTCTGTTATAGGAGTATAAACATATTATTTTATCTGATTATATATCAATTTTTTGTATCGGACTAAAAGAATTTTCGCGATCGGACTAAAAGAATTTTTAAAGTTTATGAAAATTAAATTTTAGTGTATTGTAAATTTATATGGAAATATAAACATATTTTTTTGTTATTTATTAAAATTTTATTTTTCAAAAAAAACAATATAAAATTTTTTTTACTTTTCTTACATTATTTTTTTCTAAAATAAAACAAAAAAATTCTGAAACAAAGGTTATATAAAGAGGAGGAAACATATATATATGTATATGTACAGAATGTCTCATTTTAATTGTGCAGCTCGATTAACATCGTAGAAAATGGTCAAATCAAAAAATGTCTATTTCGTATTTAAATTTTAATCATGAGAATAAAGCTTGCAAAGTTCGACAAATAAGATAAAAGATGTACTATATAATTTCTGAATCTCTCAATAGAAACTTCAAATATTAAATTAATTTTATAGCTCGCACAAATAAATGTCCAGCAAATAAATAGATGATCGCACAAATAAATGTCCAGCAAATGATGTATTCATTATCTATTTAAGATGTATAAAGTTCAATACGCATATAAATAAAATTAAAATTTTTAATTTTATATGAAATAGATAGAGATTAGTACAAATACAAAATACTTTAAGATTTTTGTTTAATAGTGCATAATATAATTTTTTTAAAATAAGTATATTATTTTAAAATATTTGTATATTTTTCACTCTGTTTTCATTCTTTTAATGTAAATTAGAATTCCGAATGTCTTCTCTTTTATCATGTCAGGGATTAAAACATGTCCACACAGAAAAAAATAAGTGTCAAATCAAAACTTATACATATGTATACTTAAACTAACGCGTTCATTGTTTCGTATATACGCAACAATTTATAATCTTCTTAGAAGAAGATTTAATAATTGTAAATTTCGACAATATTATTGTCTTATTTTAATATTGTAATTGTCACCTCAAGAATATATAATTATTTAATTCTACTTTAAGAAAATTATAATCTTTGATTTAAAAATGTTATTTTCTATCTAACATTGTTTCTTTTCCATTCAAGGAAATTAAATCTTAAATCAGAAGAATATATTTTTCTTGATTGAACTATATATAAAATAGCTTCATTCAAGTAAGCAATTATTCAAACAATTATATTTTTCTTTAATTAACGCAATATACTCTCATTTCAAGATTTCCATGTTAAAACTAAATATATTTTCAAAACAAGAATGTCCTTTTTTCTGTATACCAATTTCATAAATGGATATATCACGTTCGTAGAATATCCGAAAGATGTAAAATGGATGGTCCATGAATTCTCTCAATATCCTTAAAGGATATATTCGGATATTCGTCTGTCTGGGCGCATACTAAAATCTAAACAAGTATTAAAAAATTAGTTTTATAAGTCCTTTAAATAAATGTATGAAAAAATAGTTGTATGTACATATTATTATATATAATTTAATATTTAATATAATAATATTCAATTTTTTAAAAATAATATTTATTAGTTTTTCAATAACATTTATTTTTTAATAATATTTAATTTTTTAAAATAATATTTATCCTACTAATGTATTGCTGATAGTGACATTAATATAATAATAATTTAAAGGCATATAGATATATTAACATAGACTGCTTTAAAATAGTGGAAAACGGGAGGCATCCTTCTGAGAGAAAAGGATAACATTTAATTGTCTGTCTTCTTCCTTTGACGCACGCATAGTGCAATTTCAGGTTTTAAAACCGCTCATACAGGTACGTTCACTAGAAAAAGACACACACAGTAATTCACGCTATCCTTTTTCTTCAAGAGGATGTTCCAACTTCAGGCTGCACTGCTTCTTAAGCAGTTTATGTAAAGACACCTTTAATTCGCGCGCACCGAAATGCGCGCATGCGCGCAGTTTGTCACATGTTTCGCAACGTGTTTGGTGTGTTTCTGAATTACGTTACGTTTTATAATTGTTATATTGCGGAAAAGTGATTTGCTAATAAAATAATTGTTTCGTATGTACAATGGTAATTCAAGACATGGATATTTCTTTAAATGTAACAGCGGGTCCAGCTTTCTCAGCGAGAACTGTAAGTACTTGAAGTTAGTCTAGGTTAGGAAATCTCTGTGAACACGTGCACAGATGAGTACATATGAAACATGTGCAAAAATATGAAAAATTTTCTATCATCATTAAATGAGGCTTGAATAAATAATATATAAATAGGGAAAAGTAAATTAATTTTTCATAAATGTTTGTGCATTTTAGAATAAACAGAGAAGAACCGAATCTTTTCAAACTTCAATTAAAAGATTGAAAAATCAATCCTCAGGCAAAAAAGGTATAGCAGTGAATAATAAGAAATCAAAAGATACGCAAGACACACAATCTAAGAAACGAATTAGGCAGAAGTCATTATCAACTATTTTTGTTAAAAAATTGAAGGAGACTAACACTGTCGCTCATAATGCACAATCTCAAATTCCATCTCGTGTTAAAGATGTAATGATAAAAGCTCCAGAGTCAGGAAAGATTAAACAACAATCCGATGACACAGATAAGAAAGATGTGAAATTTAATAAAGTTTTATCTGTAGCAAACTCTAATTCTAATATTACAAATGAACAGACAGTATCCTTTACAAAAGTAACGAAACAACATATGGGTGAGACATTGTTGGCAAAAAGAAGAGATACTTTAATTGAACAGAAAAAAACACTTTCCGATATATTCCCAAGTCAGTTGAATGAATTGAATAAAATTGAATTAAATATATCTCAAAAACATGACATTGATAAAGATAGTAAATTAAATGAAAAATTTGATGCGGTAACTAAGAAATCTCCTACCTTGAAAATAAAGCAGATGAGCATTTTGAATAAAAGAAATGAGAAGAAACACAAAGAAAAAACTGTAAATAATCACAGAGAATCAGATAATACTCCACAATTATTGCGCAAAGGAGGTGGAAAAATTTCTTCCTTATTTGGCAATAATCCTGATGTACCGATTATAGGGCAGAGGCTTGTAAAGCCTGTAGACGAACCAATTTTTACAAAGATCACTTTTGCAGATCTTAATATTCATCCATTTATGGTTAGTATTTTCATATTCATTTAAAATGAAAATTTTTGCGCAAAAGTAGTAATTTATATTCTTTCTCTCATAGATCTCAAATTTAGAACAAAACATGCATATAACCAAAATGACAACGGTTCAACAAAAAGCCATTCCTGAGATATTTTCAGGTAAAGATGTTTTAATAAGATCTCAAACAGGATCTGGGAAAACATTAGCATATGCTTTACCTATTGTTGAACTATTACACAAAATTAGACCAAAGTTAAATAGAAATAGTGGTTTATCAGCCCTTATAGTTGTACCAACAAGAGAATTGGCCCTTCAAACATACGAATGTTTCATAAAATTAGTTAAAGTGAGTTAGGCGAATATATTTTTTGATAAAAATATTTAATAATTATATGTGTTTATATGTTAAAGCTACATTATGAATATTTTAGCCTTTTACATGGATTGTACCAGGATATATAATTGGCGGAGAAAAGAGAAAAGCAGAAAAAGCTCGATTACGAAAGGGATGTAATATATTAATAACTACTCCTGGCAGATTATTAGATCACATAAAGCATACAAAAGCATTGAGATTAAATGAAGTTAGATATTTCATATTAGATGAAGCTGATAGAATGCTTGAAATGGGATATGAAAAGAATATTTCTGAGTGAGTCTTTTACTGTTTTTAATTATATAAAAGAACAACAAATTCTGATATAAATTAATTAATTATTATTTTTTGTAACTTATATAACAGTAAGATAATATAATTAACAATTATGAAATATATATATATATATATATATATATATATATATATATATAAAGTTCATAATTGTTAATTATATTACCTTACTTATATTAGTTATATAATATTAGTTATATTAGTTATATAAAGTTACAAAAAAATAACTAATTAATTTATATCAGAAATTTAAAATATAATTAACAATTATGAAATTATATATATATATATATATATATATATATATATATAAAGTTCATAATTGTTAATTATATTATCTTATTGTTATATAAGTTACAAAAAAAATAATTAATTTATATCAGAAATTTAAAATAAGTTTTAATAAATAAGTTAAATAAGTTTTTAAATTTTAAATATATATATTACAATTTAGGATAGTAAATGCTTTGAAAGTGTCAAATCACAACAATGAATCAGGATACGACGCTATGAAAATATTCAAACAAAATATTAAAAATATATCAACTGATAAAAATATTTCCAAAGAAGATGATATAAAATTTTGTAGTAAAATAGAGAAAAATCACATAAATGATAAAATGAGACATATGGATAATTCAAATGATGATAATAAAGATGACAATCAAGTTATTATCAAAGGAAAAGAAGTTTCAAAAGGAAGGGAGAAAGATACAAAATATTCAAGTATGAATCAAGAATTTGATTCGAAAGCGGAAAATGCACAAAACATTGAGCAAGATTGTAAAGATGTAACTCAATCAAGAAGAAAGACAATTTTATTATCCGCGACTTTGACGCAAGCTGTCGAAAAATTGGCGGGCCTTGCGATGTACAATCCAATCTTCGTTGACGCGGCTAAAGAGAACTTAGAAACAAGCGGAGGAGATACCAGCGAGATCAACGAAGATTTAATAGTTCCACAAAGTGTAATTCAGAGTTACATAGTCACTCCACCTAAATTAAGAATGGTCACTCTGAGCGCTTATATCGTCAGTAGATGTCAGGTAAAAACCTCTTTGCTCTCCATTTCAAGAACGATGTAATTTTATTCGCAAACAGCTATCTCTGTATATTTGTGGTTGTTTGTTATTGTTTATTTTAGACTCCTGGGCAGCATAAAATATTGATCTTTATGGCCACGCAAGACATGGTGGACTATCATACCGAAATTTTGTCCTCTATTCTTACGGAATCAGTAGATGACAATGACGATGAGGACTCCGATCCGCTGGTTAACGTAGAATTCTTCAAACTACACGGTAACATGACACAGAAGGAAAGGACGGAAGTCTTCAAAACTTTTAGTCGAGCGAAGAGTGGAGTACTATTATGCACGGTGAGTAATATGTTTTAAATTAAAATAAATTGGTTTAAATAATAAAATTAAAAATTAAAAATTGAGCAAGTAAGAGCTAAGACGCGCAGTAATTGGAATGTAAGAAAGAAGAAAAATGTTCCGGATTATTTTTCGTCTATTTTCAATGTAACATTATATTGGAGAATATCAGGCAATAATATGAAATTGCATTAATCATTTCACAATCGATATGCAGATAGATTACAATGTTACATTTCGCAGTAATCTGACATTTTCGTAAACAATTCCAACCTTTATACCAGTGCTATTATTATAGTATTTAAATCCTAATTTTTTTGCACAAATTAATACATTAATGACAAATATATATTTTATATATTCCAAATATATTTTAAATTACTTAATATAATTAAGTAATTTTAAATTACTTAATATAATTAAGTAATTTAAATTATTTAATATTATAAATATTTATGAAATTTTTACATATATAATTTTCTTTGATTGCACGTACTTTTATAAATACATATTTAAATTTCTAACTGATCTAACTTCTGAATACATGTATAATTTACAGTACACGTTGAAAAATGTGATATATCGACTAAATTTTTCTTATTTTTTTGACTAAAAATCTCTATAAATATTAAATATTGTCTTAAAATATATATTGCACATTTGTAAAGTGTTATTGAGTTTATTTGAGATACTAATACATTTAAAAAAATATATATTAAAAAAAAATTAAAAATTAAATTAAAAAATTAAAAATTAAATTAAATAATTAAAAAAATATTAAGAAAAAAAATAAAAATTATACAAAATTATATATAATTTAAGAAAAAGAGAAAAAATAAACTGAGATAACGAAAGAAAATTTACAAAAGGATATCTGTCGGCACTCTCTGAGCTGTAAATTATACACACTCTCCATGACTTATTCTTTCGAGAGGGAATTTAATACCTCCGGACTCACGCTGCGTTCAGAGGTTAAAAATTATACGAGCACATGAGGCCTTGGTAATGAGTATAATTATGATCATCCGTTATGTGTTTTCTTCGCTTTCTAAAGAAATCGTTTAACAATTCAAACTTTGTAACATAACACATTAATTTTTTATAAGCGATTACTAATTTTCTTACGAAACAAATCATGCTATCAACAAGATATCCTCAGTGAAAGGATACATTTTTTTTATTCGATTTGTTAAAATATTTATAATATATTTATAGAAGCGCTTGTTTCGCTAATTGCATTCTGTGAACGGCATAATTAATCATGGCGTTATAATGTTCGCCAAGTAATGGATAAGTAACTTTCTTTCGCCGCCACTAATTACATCCGTATTGCATCGGCCGAATTAATCTGACGTCGAATAACAGAGCAACTTTCTGATTCGCATTCAACTCTCGGTGACTGCTTTAACTGTCGTAATTACCGGTGAAAGCGATCGATTTCGTCGTGGGGATTGTCGAAAATAAAATCCGCGCTCTCATTATATCTTTCCTCATCGCTTAATTCTAATTTTACCGTGAAATACTGTTATTACTTTCATTTATTGTGTCCGAAAGTATCGCAGGGAGAATGTGTACATAAGTGAAGGAAAGAAATTTATCGATTAAATTTCGATAGCAAGATTTGTAAATGATGTTCGACATCGACGCGAACGAATGACAATCTTTTTAACGCGTCGTAAAAATTAATTCCTTCTCATCAGGCGAACGTATAAGCAGTTCGACCATGAAATTCGCACGAGTCCTTTTATCTTCCTTTTATCTTCCTCTTGTTATCCTCGTTAAACTCTATACATATATTGCAATTAAAAATGCTTTAATTAAGATAATATCGACTAAATTTTCCTTATTTCTTCGATTAAATATCTCTAAATATTTATAAAATCTTTCTTTTTTCTTAAAATACACATTGTAAGATGCTTTAGATATACCAATATATTAAGACAAAAAATTAAAAGTTATTTAAAATTAAATATAATTAGGAAAAAAAAGAATTAAAAAATAAACTGAGAAAATATATATAAAGGAAAATATATACATATGTAAATATGCAGAATAATTTTTCATATCAAGAATAATTCAATAAATAGGAATCAAGAATTTAAAGGGATATTCCATCATTTATTTTATAAAGAAAATATCTTATGAAAACGTCTTATGTTCTAAGGTTTATATTTTCAAAATATAAAGTGCCAAATTTTGAAAAAATGAAGCTATTTATATTATTATTTTTTAATTTCAATTTTTCATTTTAACTCGAAAACAGCTAACCACATAAAAAAAGAGTAATTTCTGTTGAGTTTTAATTTGGAATTTCAAATAAAATTATTAAACTTGAAAAAAAAACAGTGGCATATCATTAAAAATAAAACTTAATATGATTATACATATGCACGCCCTTGGTAGATATAAAAATATTTCATCTATACTGAAAAAGGGTTTTTAACATGTATGCATATTAAATTTGAATAAAATATCTCTAAATAAAACTCTAAATAAAATCTTTAAACGTTTTCTTAGATTTTCGAAATTTTCATTTTCTATCTCAAATTTATTATCTTGTATTTTGAAAACAAAATACTTTAGGATATACGTTTTCATAAGTCACATTTTTTTTATAAAATAAGCAATTCCTTTACAAGAATTCTAAAGTATATCCTAAAGTACTTTGTTTAAAAAAATACATATATATATATTTAATATACTTTGTAATTGTAATGAAACTTTTCCTGTATTATTAGTTGCTTTTGATCAGAATAAAATAAAACATATCAAAAATTTAGCCAATTCGATGGAAAATTTTCTCTTAAATTAGTGTGGGGCCCTTTAGCGATTTTTAAATGTGAATTTATTTAAACACGGGTAAAAATAAAAATTTCTTCATTAGAAAACTACTAAAAATTTAAAAAGATCAAAATATTAAAAATTTACAATACAATACAAAAAATTTATTATATTTTCTGCCGTTTTATTTAAAATTTCTAAATTAAATCTTTATATCTTATTCACTGTCGATCATATTGATACAACGCTTTCGACATCGAGTACAAGCAAAATAATTTATTGTGTACTTGGAGAATAAATATATCGGGCATATTTAATTCATTAATGTTGAACTCCGCGGAATGCGTGGTGGTAGCCGCCCACGTTTTACGGGATCACCTACCACATGTAGGTTTTATGACGGTATTATTAATTTCCACATTGAAAAGCTACGAAGGGGCATCCCCGCGGCCGGCAATACTCCCGCTTTCAGTCGGATCCACCGCCGTGTGATCTATGATCCGAGTGAGATGTTTTGAACGGCCGATCAGTTCTTGATCCCGCGTCCCGCTGAATCCCCCGGTCCATTTCTTTAAACGATCGTTTGTCTTAATCGCCCCTATCGATTGCTCTTCGGCGCTCTTTGTCTCTCTTTCCGTGTATCGAAACCAGTGGCTTGTATATTTTAATGCGCTAAGTTATGATTACGAGCATCGATTACAAATTGATTTGAATCGATTGGCATTGAAGAAGCCCATATACATTGTATGATGAGATATTTTATTTAATTTATATATTTTTTTATCTCATTTTCCGTAGCTGTTCTAAGATATTTGCACAAATTATGTAGGGTATTCTTAAATATGTGCGAAAAATTTCAGAGGAGGTGATTTCTTGAGTAATTTCTTGAAGAAAAGTTTATATATATCCCAGTGTCTTAAACAATATAATTTTCGAGTTATAAAGTATTGAAGATTTAGAAAAATGAGATTTCAAAATATATATTTCGACTTTAGTCTTGATTCGCAAAATTAGAGTCATTGAATTCTTTTCCCTTAAATTTTTAGTTTACATCACTTCGATTGAAGATTTCAACACTGAGAAAAATATCCGGTGAAGAGGAAACGAACGGATATTATACCGATCACTTTAATCGGAAAAAAAGAAACCGGTCAGATATCCAATCAGAAAATATCGATCGATCGGGTATCTGATCAGAAAGTTCAAAATTCGGAACTTTCCGATCAGATATCTGATTAAAGTGATCGGTATAATATCCGTCGTTAATATTCGTTACCTTTTCATCGGACATTTTTCTCAGTGAAAAATTGCACAATGTAGTGCAACAATCTGTAATACATCTGGTATTTTTGAACATATTCGCCAAGCAAGAGGAGAACAGATTTATTAATATATATTATAACTGGAAGTGGGGTCATTTCAAACAATTTTTATAATTTTATTTAATTTTGTTTTTGTCAAAATATTTTTTTTTTGAAATCTCATTTTTTTAATTTTAAACATTTTATATTTCGAAAATCATTAGTTGTTTAGGACATTAATACATGTGAATTTTTCTTCAAGAAATTAATTAATGAATTGCCTCTCGAATTTTTTTCGCACATGTTCAGAAATACCGTATAAATTAATCGATACGGTTCTGTTTGTATATGTGCATATATATATATATATATATATATATATATATATATATATAATTTAAAATGCAAATTCCAATTTTCTAGAGATTGAGCCTTTTTTGCACATACACAGAACATAGAAAAAATACATAGAAAAACATAGAAAAAAAGGACATTCTTATTTTGAAAATATATTTAGTTTTAACATGGAAATCTTGAAATGATATTATTGACGATAATATTGTTGAAATTTAAAATTATTAAATTCTTCTAAGAAAATTAGAAATTGTTGCGTATATATGAAACAATGAACGCGTTAGTTTAAGTATATAAATTTTGATTTGACACTTCTTTTTTTTCTATGTAATTATTCTATTTCCGCGTTATTATTTTTAATCACACAAAATAAATAGCTAGAAACTATTTCATCAACATTAATCAAGCGATAAAATATAACGGAATCATGGAGCGAGTTGGAGAGAATATATCCAGTTCGATCGATATTTATTTCGAGAGAGAGGGCATAGAGATTGCTTTCTTTCTATTCCTTCACGCTGGCGCCCGAATCGCGCCGTCGTCGACGTGTGTTGAATTAATAGCAGGAAAAGATGTAATAAGAATACACGGATATGTTCGTATCGTGCCGCGAAAGAATTCCCGGGGGCCGCGACGCCCCCCCACTGGTGGTCTGGGATTAGTCCTTGAGGCCCATCGAGAGGGAGAAAAAGAGAAAGAAAGAGAGAGAGAGAGAGAGAGAGAGAGAGATACTCGGAGTACTCTCATCGCAGTAAATCATGGGCTAGCCAAACGCAGGAAATCAGGGCCGTGCTCAAACGTTCGCTGTTGGGGGGCACAGCAGGCGCTCGCCCTGCGCATTCACGTCGCCACAAAACAAGAAATCACCGCGGTTTGTAAGACATTTGTACCAGCAGGTCGCGCAGACTCGTCGCCTTTTGTTCGTGGAATCAGGCACTTCTAAACATTAGGATGCGATAAGCATTGAAGATATTGTTCCAACAAAATTGTAGCACCAATAAGAAATTATCACTCCTAGTAAATCTTGAGATATATTTTATAGAAAACAAATCCTGAGATATATTTTATAGAAAAAAAAAGATTTGTGTAAATAAAATATTTCATTTGATATAAAAATACAAAAATAATAATTTCCGAAATACGTTTTTGGGACAAAAATTGACCTGTTGATCACAAAATGTATTTCCTTTTATTTCCGAAAATACATTTTGTGATCAATTTTTGTCCCAAAAACGTATTTCGGAAATTATTATTTTTGTATTTTTATATCAAATGAAATATTTTATTTACACAAATCTTTTTTTTTATTATTCATATTAAAGCTAAGGTAGAAAGAAAACTAAGATGGAGTCATTATAGTTGGAAAAATCTATAGTTTATATAAGGTACAAGTTATACTTTGACATAGAATATAAAATACAGAGTAAACTTGTAAATTCCCTTCATTCTTTCAACAAATAAATCAAAATTTTCTAGAGATTAATAAGTAGAACTGACTGATGACATATCTTCATACAAATGTAATATCGCATTTGCACATTTTTTTTTAAATGTAATTATACATTTTTTATTTCAATGAGCTCATTATCGAATGTGAAAATATTAAGATAAAATTATTGGAAAAAATGAATATTTTACAAAATATTATAATATATCGAAATAAATTATAAAATATCTTTTTAATTGTTGATCTTTTAATTCTATCTTAATACTTTTATAGAACTTTTATAGAACGAAAAAAAGAATGTGGTTTTGTTTGAAAAACAAAGATGACTTTGAAATCTTGGAAGTGCTTCCGTCTGAAACAAAATTATACTGATCACAATGTTTTTGAAATCAAATAATTTTTATTCCAAAAAATATCTTTCGAGAGATAAAATGCCAACCTTAGGATTTATTAGAATTGTTTCTAATAATAATCCACCCAGTTGTTTAATAATAACTTTTCTAATAATAACTCACTCTGTATTATTGATTGACTAAATTAGATACAGAGTTTTGTTTTTTATCTTGTACAAATCGAAGATTCTTTGGAAAATATTTTGCATACAATTCACTCTATGTAAGATGTATTTTTTTCCAATTATCCAGGACGTCGCAGCGCGAGGTCTAGATATGCCAAAGGTAGATTGCGTTGTTCAGTATACAGGACCAATTTCGACTAGGGATTATGTTCATCGAATCGGTAGAACAGCGCGTGCAGGATGCTCCGGGACAGCAACAATCTTTCTGACGCCCTCGGAAGTCGAATTTGTGCGGATGCTCGAGTCAAGGCGCATCAGAATCAAACAACAGAATATGAACGACATTTTGGACAAGCTATTGGGACCTCTTTCCAAGCATAACTCCGTGCAAGCGGCAGCTATCGCTCTGCAAAACAATTTTGAAAATTTAGTATTGGAAAATAAGCAACTTGGCGCGAAGGCGTATAAAGGTAAGTGCTTTTTGTAAGAAATAAAATTATAATTTTTATCATTTTTTAAACTTTATAAATCCAAATTATTATCAGGAGATACGCGAAATTGGATGTAATGAGTTAGATATTGTAACATTAACTATACAATGTTATATAAGGATTGATATATAGGGTATTTCATTTTAATCGCTCCAAGCAAATATCTCGAAAAATATGAAAGATATAGAAAAATATTTCAGAAAAAAGTTGTTTGGTTCGAAGGAGGACATAAGACGGTATCATTGGTTTAATCTTAAATAAATATGACAAGATCATAAGAAGTTTAACTTTGTTTTTTTTGAAACCCTTTATTTTTTTTATTGCACATTCTTATAGCTTATCTCGAGAGAGCTTTTTAAAACACTATAAAGTATCTTTCCATTAAGTATTTTCCGAGTTATAAAGCTTGAAATGATTTCTTAATTTTACATAAATTATAAAATATCTCGTAAATATTTATTTCTCGATGATCTTACCTCAATACTTTATGCGCAAAATAAGAGGTATGTAATTTGCAATAACCAACTATGTATTTTTTCTTAAAAACAATTTATTTATTTATATTTTCTTTACACCAATTGATTCCTCTCATTATTTTGTGCGTAAAAGTATTGAGGAAAGAAATTGAAAAATGAATATTTTATGATTTATGTAAAATTAAGAATTCATTTCAAGCTTTATAACTCGGAAGTACTATTAGTTAATGGAAAGATAGTTTATTATATAGTATTTTGAAAAGCTCTAGAAATAAGCTACAAAAAATATATAATGAAAAGTAGGGGATTAAAAAAAATAAAGTTGAATTTTATATGACCCGGTACGGTTACTCAAAGTCAAACCAATGACATTAACTTATGTCCTCCATTGAACCAATTTTTATCTAAAACGGTTTTTTATATTTTTCATATTTTTCGAAATATTTTTACTTGGAATGAAACATCCTGTATATTTACATGTACATTATAAGAGGCACACGTGCAATAAAAGCTTAAATCTTTGTCTTCGTGCAAGGCAAAGTGTTGATGAAGAACTGCGAGACATAAGCGAACATCTACTTTGATGCAGTTGGATTGTAACGAAAGCGAACTGACTTCAGGGTAGACTAAGCCAATTCCACCGGGCACCCCACGCATATAAAGCAAGCAACCCTTACGCGTACATTATGGGGCTCTTATTCTGTCTCCCTTCACATTCGCCTCATTCTCCACCTCCTTGGATATTTACATAGTCTATCGATGGGGAGGGATGATCCTGTTTGCTATGCCATGGTTACTCTATTAGGGTCGCTACAGAAAGGAATTTATTTGCTACAATAATAAATCTATTATAATCGACCCAATACTTGTGAAAATGAAGACATTAGCCCTCTTCATATTCACGATGACTTTTTTTCCCTTGCGAATTTCCCTTTCATATAAATATCGTATATTAACTTGTTGCTTGTTTCTCTTGAAATATTTTTCGATTATTTCGTACACAGAAAAAAGGACATTCTTATTTTGAAAATATATTTAGTTTTAACATGGAAATCTTGAAATGAGATTATATCGCGTTAATTTAAGAAAAATATAATTGCTTGAATAATTGCTTACTTGAATGAAGCCATTTTATATAGTTCAATCGAGAAAAATATATTCTCATGATTTAAGATTTAATTGTCTTGAATGGAAAAGAAACAATGTTGGATAGAAAATAACATTTTTAAATCAAAGATTATAATTTTCTTAAAGTAGAATTAAATAATTATATATTCTTGAGATGACAATTACAATATTAAAATAAAACGATAATATTGTTGAAATTTAAAATTATTAAATTCTTCTAAGAAGATTAGAAATTATTGCGTATATACGAAACAATGAACGCGTTAGTTTAAGTATATAAGTTTTGATTTGACACTTCCTTTTTTCTGTGTATACACATAAAAGTTGAAGAAGCGCTATCGTTTATAAATATGAAGGCTCCGTTTATCACATGTTTGAACAATTTTGAGAAAATTCATCTTTTGTTAATACGATAACAAAAACAGAAAGGCAAGGTAAACAATTCTTGGAGATTATTTTTGCGGAAGTACATTAACGGCTGTGTTACGTCGATTGCGATAATCGCGTGAACGAGCAACGAGCAATTCCAAAAAGGAAATTCGGAACCATTAATCTTTCTAAAAGGTTTTCGAGCTTCGAAATTGTCCCGCATCAGCCGGGGCTTTACACGAAGGTTAGCCACGGTTTTTGAGCGCTTAGCCGCCCTAGATTTGAGTGACGTTACACAGCTAACCACTTGACCGTTCCTCTGCACGTAGCTAGTGATTGATAGATTAATTGCTGCCGTTGCTCGTAACCCCCGGTATTGCACTTTTCGCATGGGAATTGAGGTTTGGAAGGAGCAAATGAAAGGAAAGTAGGAAGTGAATAACAAATTAGCTAATATCTCTTAATATATCTATTGAGATTATTTGCTATAATCTATTGAGATTATTGTTCATACTCTATCATTTATTCGTTCAGATTAAACACATTAAAAAGGGTTTGGAAAAAACAGCATTTTTATAAAAACAAATAAAAATGCATGAAAAAAGTAAATATTTGAAAGCATGTTTTAAATGTTTTTATTTATTTTAAAAAAATGAAAAACGTACAAATTGCAGTTTATAAATTGCATTTCATAATTGCTTTTTAAGATACTTTAATTTATTTTATATAATATTATTAATTTTCAAACATTTAAATATTTTTTTAATTGCATTTTTAATTTTATATAATTTTATACATTTAATTTTATATATTTTACAATAATAAAAAAAATTCAATTGTACTTAAGTTTTAATGATAGTATTTTACGCCGGTCATAATAAAAGATATACTTTTCAATGTTGGAATTAAGTTCATAAAAATGTTCGTGTGCAACAGAAATACAATGAAAAATAATGTGGATGCTATTCTCGGCAACAATTCCGAAATTTATTTAATTCGTGACCGATGCGAAGTCGTTGGTCGACGCACGAGCGGAGAAGTGGAAATCTCGCTAATTCGTAACATTATTACCCCAATAGAGCCGAACAACCTTCAATAGCAAGTACAGTTCTATAGAACGAACCCCCTCGAGCTGCGACCCTCGCCACTAACCCAAGAGATTCATCCACTCCATTCCATATATATGATTTAAGCCTCGTGTCGGTACTCGACTATATTCTATTCATCGTAATTCTCTGCAAATATTGTTTTCGTCATTCGATTTAATCAAATTATTTAATAAATTATTTATATTTTATCGAAATAATGTGTGTGATGCATCAATTGAGACGCGAAATAAATCACATTTATATGTGAATTTTAAAAAAAGTGTAAAATCTGTTACATTTTACATTTTTTTCATTCAGTTTTAAGTCGATTTTTTAAAAATAACACTTGATTAAAAAAAATACAATATTTCATTAAATTTTATTATCACAATAGACGTTGATTTTTCCGTGCTCGTCGCAAGTTAGATCGAATTTAGTGTATATCGCTCGCGCGTCTTTCACAGAGGGAGGTGGCCGACACAATCCAACCACTGAATGTGACTTCCGCCAAAACCACTTACGCTTTGTGGCGAGAGACTCTTAACAATGCGATACAGGATACAAATACAATAAGACGCAGTTACATCACTTAGGAACAATGCTACCCCACTCTTACATCTCTCCTTCCCTCTCTCTCCGTTCTGACTTCTCAGCTAGACACCGCCCCCACATGTGATTTATGCGCTAAATGGAGAAAAACATTTCTCCCTTTTCAACACTGACACCAAGCCGCAAGAAAGACTTCAGCGGGGTTTCTTTCGTACGGAAGGGAGGAGTTGAGATTAGAAGCAGACGGAAATCAAGATGGAAAACGTTGAGAAATGAGACTGAATTATGAAAATTAGAAACACTTACAGGGGATCCAAATAAAACATCCACTTGCAATTAAATCTATTCGATTAGATAATTTCGTTATATATCAAGTAATAAATATATGTTACGCTCTCTCTTGAGTAGATGTCAGAATAACGTTCAAGAGAATTTAAAAGCGATCTCTGCGTAATTTTATTATTATTATTATCGATAATAATTTCATTGCATCAAAACATTGGTTCAGCGTTGTTATCTTCTTACTTGGTCAAACATCAGAAATTAGGCGATCTATTAATAAACAGCCGGGAATCAAATTTGGAGTCTCAGTCAGGTTTTTCGCACGGAACATGGTCAGTGGCCGTGTCAGTCGGCGTGCACATGTCGAGTTCTCTTAGGACTATCCCCCGGGTTTCTCACCGGTACATACAAGCAAGAGACGTTAAGAAGGGACGCGAGGGTGACTATTAGCTGCAGCACTTGACTCGACTACCTCCTCCTTTACCGTTAATGCCTCTTAATAGCCCGCTACGGGGCGCGCACACACCCTAAGCTTGGAATCAGGGGCGGTCCAACCCCCCGTGGAACCACTTAATGGAACTGCGATTAATAAGGGCGCAATACACGTAACTGATTATTACATCCGAGTTGCACGTGACCTCTTAAACGTAGACGAGGCGAGTGTACTTGACATACTAAAGCGTTGCATCTCAATTTTATTATTTCTACATTAAGAAAAAAATCTGGTTGCATTAATTAAAATTCTGGTAGATTCAATCAGTATGTCTGTTGGAAAATGGACGAACCAGAATTCTTGTAGGAATTACCAGATGAATCTGATTAATTTTTTCCTGTTAAATTTACCAAATTTTCTGGTTAATAATACTAAACTCGCCAGCACCAAGTCGTCTAAAATTTTTTTCATCTAATCTCAAAAGTCTGTTTAATATTCTGAATTCCAACGAGATTATTGGATAAATTCAATCCAGATTATTGAATAAATTATTTTAAGTTCAGTTTGTTAGAAATTAAACTGATAAACAGTGATGCAAGAAGAGCATGCAGCTCAAACACACACAACCAGAGAGCTAGCATCCTCTTTCTGACACTACTGTTCGTAAGAGAAAAAAAAAATACTTTGGATTTAATGTTAATACTGGTTCTTTATATACATTTTATGGCAAATATTGAATACGAGTTAAGTTAAGAGTGACTCCTCGCTTAGCAGCAAGCAAAGAAATTAATGTAACAAGAAATTTTATAGATCCAACCAGAAAATACTAACCAAATCCTTATAGTAAAATCTATTAAACGTTTTAGTTATAAAAAATCGAGTCTTATGATAACTAGAAATTCTTGTTTGATTTAACCAAAATGCCTTCAATCATATACGTCTTGTTGGTATACTCAAACGATTTTTTTCAGTGTAGAAAAACAAATTTCAATTTATTAATATTGATTAATTGCGAGTGTAACTGGAAATGTATAATTATCTTTACATTATAATCTCTTTATTCCAAAGCGTACACCTCATGGATGCGTTTCTATTCAAGTTATCCGCGTGATATGCGTGAGATATTCAATCGAAAGGAACTTCATTTGGGTCACTATGCCAAAAGTTTTGCGTTGAGAGATTCGCCGCACCGAATCGGCGGAATCGGTAAAAAGCTACGCGAGAAAGAAGGTCTGAAGCCCAACCATAACAATCGCCTACACAAGCCGTAAGTATCAAGTTTTCTTTTTCTTTCAAGATTGTTATAATTGCGTTCTTAAAATTTTTCTCATTTTCCATATTAAATTGTCGCATATTAAAAATGCAAAAAATTCGAGAAACTAATGTAATTTTAGCAACATACACTTGCATAATATGTGTAATGCATAATTGCGGTAAAAAAAATATGTTTACATTATGGGAAAGAACTCGTAAATAGAGTGACTGTTGAACGCGTTCAGATGATGGTATTTGAACCGCGCGATCGCGGAGCCTATGGTGAGTCCGTAGTGACGGTATTAATGACGGATTCATGCGTGGCTTAGCGTGTTAACCGCTGCCTCCTCCTCTGCTCATACTGTCTATCCTGGCGTAGAGCACCCACAGGCCGAGTAGGATGGCTCGTGCGATGGCTCCTAGAGAGGTTGGCGGACGCATCAAAACTGTCGCTCTGTGTCATCCGTCATGTACGACGAACAAGCGGACGTGTTCTACGGTGGCTGGTGACCATAAGCCATACGGTTCTCGTCGTGCTCGTCGTTGTGTTCTCCGCACGTTTCCCCCGACTGTATATTCTCCATTTCACTCCACCTAAGCTCGCATTGCCTCGCTCGCTCGCGACAAATGTGTCTCATTTCCCTCCTCTCTCTAGCTTTCTCATTCTATCTTCAGCGGTGTGCATTTCACATGGCACTCCGCTGCTGCCCTTCTCCAGGTCTCTCTCTCTCTCTTTCTCTTTCTCTCTCTCTCTGTCTCTGTCTCTCTCTCCCTCTCCCCATTGTTCATAATTATACAATACGGCTATTAAACAGACTGATGCGACCGCCATTTCCGGCCGTGGCTACGCCATTTACGGAAACCACAGGACAAGCACAAGCCTCCCTCCTCTCTTTGCCCCCGTCGTTTCATCTCTCGCTCGCATTTACGAAATCCTGAAACTGTCATCCACCTGTATTTGCTTCTTCTCGCTTGTATATATCCTTTTGCACGCTCTAACTTTTTTTTGAAGGAAACCTTTTTTCCTCGCCTTTCATTCATGCATTATTCTGATTTTAAACGCAGAAAGAGTTCTCTAATTTTCTAATTTTTATTATTTTTCTCATTTGTACTTTATTTACTCTTTTTATATATTTAATAATGAATATAGAAATTATTTATCTTATTTATGTATCTCGATATTAAAATATCATCTCTAAACCGAAATTATATAATTCATTCATGCATTATTCTGATTTTAAACGCAGAAAGAGTTGTCTAATTTTCTAATTTTTATTATTTTTCTCATTTGTACTTTATTTACTCTTTTTATATATTTATTAACGAATATAGAAATTATTTATCTTATTTATGTATCTCGATATTAAAATATCTCTAAACCGAAATTATATAATTACATTATGTAAACATCTATTAGTCTTATCATAGTTGCGTTAAAATACTTTGCTGTTTACGGTCCACTGCTTTTTCTTTTCACGACTTGATGCAAACGAGAATCAAGTCTAACTACCACGGCGTCGTACTTATTAATTTCTATGCCAACCCTTTCCTTTCTGCTTCATGTATCACGTCGTCTGGATCACACGACTGCAGACCACCTTCTGTGTTTTTACTAAGCTTTATAATTCCCGTGTTCTCCGGCGATCATTTGCCTGTGCTCTCTGCCATATTCTTCTATCTCTGTCCTTCTCCCTTTCTCTGTATCTCCTCTCTCGAGTTGCCCTTTTTTCACGTTACGCGCGGCGAATCTTTTTCCCCCCGAGACCGGCATTACGCATTAACGTGTTTAATGCGATTTGAATGGGCGTGCTTTGGACGAATACGACGGGCAACCGACTGGTGCTCTTCGCACAGGGAGAGAACGAGTCAGTTTTAATGGGTGAAAGGCGGGCACTGAGCTGACGGTCCAATGGATCGAGAGACGACCACAGTGTACGCCTCTGTGGATGCGATTATCTTACATGCTTTTGTATGCGTGTCTTAGCCCAAGTGCGTTCTGCGACTGTGTGCAGGTTCACTCCTTGGTATTCATCTGTAAGATTATTGTAGCACCGAAATTTCGTGTCATCCAACTCGTCAATTCATGCATCGCTGCTTCATGCGTGCTACTTTGCAGTTGAAATAATTAATATTCCGTAATTTCTTACGTACAAAGAAGTAGAATAATCAATTCAGGGTATTCCACTCTTTGAAAAAAAAAAAAGATACATGGAAAGTCTGGAATTATTAGAGATTTTTTTTTGTATGTATTTGAAATCTTGTCAAAATATTAAATATAAATACGTAACAATATTCTTTATTGACATTTTTAGTGATAAAAATGTTATATAAGTGATAAATGTTTATGAAACTTATTCAGGTTTTTTTTAGTATTTTTGCAAATTTAGCACTTAAGAAACTTTATTTTTCTTTCATATGAGTAAAAATATATACTACAAAAAAACTGTTTTGAAAGGGTTAAAAATATTGAACGAAAATATCTGAAAAATCAGGGACTTTTCAGAGAATTTTTTTACAAGACTTGAATAGATATCGCATAAATTGTTTTTTTATTTTATTCGTTTTAGAATTTATTCCTTTCTTATATATATAATCAGAAATAATTTTAACTTCATTTATAATAAAATTAAATTGCTCGCTTTTAACTTACTTATTCGTTTAAAAATTTCTTAATCCAAATTCACTTTATAGATTTCTATTCCATCAGATAGTGTTGCCAGTTTTGTGTTATATTTTTTACTTCCTTTTTTTTGTAGAAAATCTGTATGTAATATTCGGTATGTAGTTGAAGAGAATTTATTGATCATTATTGCAGAATGAACAACAGAATCTATGTAAAATACAAGATTTGAGGGAACACCCTGTATATTGTATTTTTATTCTATTTGTTTTAGAATCTGATTGAAAATACTATCTCTCTTAAATCTTTTAATCGGAAATAATTTTACTTAGATAGTAGTCGAATGAAAATTGCTCAAATCATTTTCATCTATTTATTTTAATCTATTTATCGATTTTAAAATTCCTTAATTGAAATTCACTTAATAGATTTCTATTTCGTCAGATAATGATCAGATAACTTGGTGCAATATTTTTCACCTTTTTTTTGAAGGTAGAAAATTTCAGTATATAGTTAAAAAAATTATCCTTATTAGATCGATCCTTATTAGAAAATTAATAATAGAACGTATATATGTATGAAGTACCGAAATTAAATGAGAGATACCATTATAAAGCAAGATAAAATGCGTGCTTCGTGCGTGACGCTGAGCGATGGACAAAAACACGAAGCGACGAACCTAATACGAAATTCGGTACGGCAGTTGGTGGAAGCCCACCTTCGTGTCCGGATATATCGAGTGTATATCGTCGCTTTGCTGATGTATTCTTCTTTTTCTTTTTTTTTCCACAATTTCCGATTATCGCGCTCTGTCCTCACCACATGTCGTTTACGTCGAATTACCGAAAATTGCGGGTTAGTCCTAATGCGAGAGAATTAAAGTACGCGCCCCGAGTGCTTCCTCTCTCTCTTTCGTTTTCAGATCCGATGGGGTGCCGCAAAAGGAGCAAAGGAAACAAAACGGCGACAGGCAAAGAACGGGGTTGTTGAAGAGGGCGAGGATGCTCAACACGTCCGAGTACGATAGCGGTCTCGGACCTATAAAGAAGTCAAAAAAGTAATACTGTGTTTCTATTGTCTCGACATTATAATAACATAAACAGAATGATTTCACGTTTGCGGTCGAAAAATTGTAAATAAACACATTAGATTAACATTTATTTAAATGTTTTGTTAAATGTGTATAATTAATAAATTAATTAAAAATTTTAACTTAATTATTTATAATGTATTATATCGACCTATTTTACTTACATCTTTGTGAAAATGCCTGTGATAATTAATTTTTTAATATTTTTTTTATATAAAAGTGCATCTTACCGCTATTTTTATTACATTTTAAGTATTTTATTATTTTATCAAATGTTTCATTCTTTAGTAGGTTTCAGAAAATGTGCAATTTTAAAGCTAATATATAATTAAAACAATTATACGACAAATTAAGAGATAATTTCGCAAAAAAATGATAACTGGGTCTTTATTTTACGTCAGTTACATTATTTTTATCTTGATAAATACTTTTGATTCAAAATTATCGTTTAACATTGCTCTTATAACTCGTTCTCCTACCAATTTTCCTGCGATTGCTAATGACACTAATCGGTGGCAAATACGCTGCGGCAAAGTGCAGTAAGAAAAAAATGTTGGGTTTAGGGAAATTAAGTATAACGATATCGCGCTAATCGCATAGCGGGCTTTCGCGGTCACGAGATTGCGCGACGTTTAAACTCCATTTTCGCCGGTCGATTACTGCTTATCTAATTCTTCTGACGATAATTAGTAATCGCTTTTTGATATTACGTACTTATAAAACTGCTACTTGGCTGGCGTCATAACGATATCACGCTAATTGCGCTTTCGTTTCCACTTCAGCGGTCACGAAATTGCAGATTGTTATTAGAATCGAATTCAACGGCTGAACAAAAACAAAGATGTTTTATTACAATGAAAGATGTTATTTTATTTTTTTTGTATTCCATTCAAACATTTTTTACAGTTCGAGAAATGTGCATGTTTATTTAGAAAGATTAATTTATTACTTTTTAATTGTATCTCATTCAATTTTATATAAAGCTTTACATATCTTAATTTTTTAATTATAAATGTCAAAAATCAGAATTTTCATGAAATTTTATTGAGACTCGACAAATTTTTTGATCAATTCTATATTTATACGTTCTTTCTTTGATAATTTTGTTCTTATAAACAATCGACAATAAGCCAAGTTGTGAATTTATTCATATGTATTTCAAATATATTATAAATATCTGTTTTTGTGTATTTATATTTAAAATACTGTATAAAATGCAGTATTTATTGTGACTTTTAATGATAAAAAATGAAAAAATGAATTTTCAAGTGAAAAATGTTTATCTTGTAAAGATTATTTAATTTTTTCTATATATTTGCAAATCTAGCAAATTTTAAAGCTCAAGTGATTCTGTATTTTCCTTTTTTATACGAAAAAAAGCGTATTTTATTAGAAAATACGTACAATAAGGAAAATTTATTTCAGAGAGAGAGAAAGTCGTACCAAAAAATGTCTTTTAAATATTCTCTTTATTTGGAATTTCGAATAAAAATATTCAAGAGATAAGGACATATTTTTAGATCTGCGTCGACATCCTAAATTTGAAATTTCGTCGAGACTAATTTGTCAAAGAGCGCTAAAGAGCTGACGCTAAAGTTGCTCGGTGCTCCTCTCCTGACTTCCTCGGATTCGATTTCAGATCCAGCCCAGGGGTTGTCTGACAATGAGAGACACGCATGCATATTACAAAGAGTCTCGCACATGATTGCGCTGGCAACGAACGGGAATTTTTGCGGGCCTCTGCGAGGACCATGACGTGCGAAGAAAAGGGAGGGAGGGAGGCTGCCCCCTCGAGAGAACCCCTTGCGGAGGAAGAGCCGTCACGAAGATAGCGGTGGAAAGGTACGGTGGAGAGTATGATTAATACGCGAGCATTATTTTCGGATTTTTTGCCTCGCGATCCGCGAGCGCAAATTGCTTACAAATAAAGGCGGCGTCGAGTGACTATCGCCGCCAGTAGAACGGCGGCGAGAACGACGGAAAGGAAGTCACGGAAGGAGGCCGAGAGCTCGCCCCGAGCTTAATTTAATTTAATTATGCCCTCTTTCTTACGCTACCAGTGCGCTCGAAGATAGATGGCGGCCACAGAATCTCGTACATCTCGTCTCGTCTCGCCTCGTCGCGAATGTAACCGTAATATTTCCGCGACACAAGTTGACCTTCATTCAAATTACGTCAGTCGTACATTTATAATTAAATCTTTATATATCTTTTTTTCTTTTTCATATAAATCCTACGATAATTAGAATTAAAGATTATATTCTTTTCAAAAAATGTGTGGTACTCTTTAATAAAATATACTTATTATAGTATGTTGTATTATATTTTATAATAATACATATATTATACTATTGTTAGTATATACTCGTATAACAAAATATAAATATACGCTATATAATTTGGAATAATTATATAAAAAATGTACACTATTATAATTATAATAATCTAAATATTTTTATTACAATATATATTATAATTATTTTCATAATTTGTTTCACAAATTTTCTAATTAATTTATTACTTTCGTCTATAAAATATTTCTGATATTTTCAATCGATATTTTTTTATTAACTAAAGTAATTCTGTCTGTTGATCTAGAATCTATCATTGACTTTTTCGCTTAATAAGAAGACGCGTCTTTAGTATACTGTTTGTAATATGCGACAAAATTTCCGTGCGTACGTTGCATTTTCCCTTCAATACATGATTTAATTCAATATTGTACGGGTTTCCGGATATGTTATACATAGTTGAAGCGCATTGGTACCTTCGCTCATCGGCGATGAATGAAGGCGGACGCACGAAGATTGATCGCGGTAATAAATCGATCGTCTTGGGCAACATCACGCCGACATATGTTTATCGCGCGATCTGATGAAAAGCCGCGTGTACGCCAATTTAATTTAATCGCGCGTTATTTCGTGCCGACCGCCGAGTGCACACACATTTTCGAAACCCACCCAAGTGGCGGCCGCATTAGAGACGCGCGAGCGGAGCAAAGAGTGCGATATTTATTCGTAATGCGCATCGCAATTCTTCGTGCCGCGGCATCAGTCATAGTCATCGCGAGCGAGTGTGCGCGCACGCTCATAATGAACCGTACGATTAGGATATCCCGTAACGTTCGTACGTTCGGCGAAGTGTTCCAGGGAAATAATATAAGAGTATCAGAAAGAGAATTTTATAAAAAGTATTCCGAATCCTCCAATAAAATTCGATGAAAATTCTCTGATTTCTCCAGATATAAAAAAATCCTTGAGAATCCCGAAAACCATGAAAAATTTGAAATTTTCTTAGAGATTAGAGATTTCTTTCATATCTGGGATAATTCTCATCAGAAATTTCTCATCAGAATTTTATTGGAATTCTCATAGAATTTTATTGGAATTCAGGAAATTTAAAAAAAAGTTCTCTTTAATCATGTTCTCTATTGCTAACAATCGGCAAGTGAATTATGTGTTTAAAATATAAATATATCTATTTATATTCAATGTCTTAACAGAATATTGAATATGCATATTTTTTATTTTCAGTAATGAAAATGTGTTATATAAGTGAAAAATATTTATCTTATGAAAGCTATTTAGTTTTTCAGTACATTTGCAAATACAGCATTTGACACTTAAGTAGTTCTATGTTTTTTCTTCGTATGAAAAAGCACATTGGAAAATATATTTTTTATTTTAGAAAGTTACATTGAAAAATTTTTAAAACTTCCTTACATAGGATTTTAAGCAAAAATATTTGAAAAATTAGGAAGTTTTCAGGAAATTTTTTTACAAGATTTCAATGTGTGTATAGACATCCTCTGTACACGAAAAGAAGAGCAGGTTTATACGAATCGATCTAAATTTTACTTCAAAATTGTGAGTTGTGTCAAAAATGATTTTTCGGTTTTTGAAATAACAATTGTACACGATTAAACACATTATTTGGGAAATTATCGAATCATTTTCTTCAGCGATATTTATCAATATTTTTCAACTTAAGAGATATAGCAGAATAAAACACGATTTATTTTACTTTGGAAGATCTGTTTAGATATACATAATTAAGTAAATTATAATTTTTCTACAGTAAATGTTTTACAAGTAAATGTGTAAAGAGCAGCATTTTTATTGCATTTTAATTAAATAAAAAAACGATTATGATATAAATAAACTTTTTATAGAAAATAAAGAATTTTAGAGAAATAAATTTTAGAGAAATAAATAAAGAAATCTTTTATCTTGATATAATAAATAGATAAAAATAAATGACAAGGTAAGGAAAAATATGGGATATAATAAAATTATCTGATAATGACTTTTATATATGCGTGCATGCGTGTGTGTGTATGTATTGAATACAAATTAAATACGTATATATGTATATATTTTTTGTTTATATCATTATAAAATGTATGAAATAATAAATGAATAATATTTAAAATATGCCTAATGGATTTAGACAATTTTTAATGGATTTATTTTTATGGATTTAAATAAATTCACATTTTATGAATGCTATGAAACCATTTACGTAACAAAGAGATATTTTCAACTTCTCTATAGTGTTCTAACGAATTATCAATTTTAGAGTCCGAAAAGTCACCATCCGCCCCTGCAAAGAGGGGATAATCCTTATTAACGCAAGATATGCGCAGAGTCCGATTAACGCGATGAGAAAAAGAGGGTCCTGGATAAAAAAGGGCCTGCTGTAGAGGGATCGAGACTTGTATCCCCGCGTCGTACGAACACACTTCTTACTCGGTAAAACACCCGCGGTGAGAAACACACGCGTGTGCGTACGTGCGTTCAGGTTTCGAGCTCTTTCTAATATGAGGCACGTAAAAACGTAAGCACTTATAAGAGGCGTCGATTATTCCACGTGATTACCGATTTCCGACCAGTTAACGACTTTTTCGAGTCTTAGTTTATACCGCCATCGGTTATTACGCGTCATTACCGTCGCGTATTCTCGCTCATTGCTTTTGGATTTCACGCTTCGAATTGCATCGATCTCTCTCTCTTTCTTTCTCTCCCTCCCCTCCCTTCTTCTCTCGACTATGGCATCGTGTATTCGTTCGGAATCGAGATCGGAAACGCGCCCAGCTGTGACGAATCTCTCGGCGGCGAAATTCTTTGCATCATCACTTAAATTGTATCGCGACGTTTCATTAACCAGTATAATTAGCTTTTAATTTTTTATTTCCTAAACAGATCTATTTAAGCGATGAAAAATATTAGCTAATTAGAAGAGAGTATGCTTTAATGGCTGAATTTTTTTAATGACGTTTATCTAAGCATGATTCAACTTATCCTGGTCTTTTTGAGGTCATTCGAAATGATTTGACATCAACGTGCTTATGAAATTTATAAGAATTGAGCGAAAGTATTTAGTTTACTATATTATACATTTTTTTTTTCAAATTAGCGGTTTATTATTCGTAGATGGTTGTCCTAAGATACATATTTACTCAGACGAAAGATATTGTAAACGTTACGGATGTTAAAATAACATACAAGCCTGTGCGTGACTGTGTTGTTTCTTAAGCATTAAGGGTCTAAAGTCTTCATCGTTTTCCGATTTCACGCACGGAATTAGCGGCAATTTATAACGAAACTTACCCACCGTATTCGACTCTCACTTTTTCCTCATCTTTAAAAGTGCTTCAATTCTTCAATACAAGAATTTCTGCAAAATTCTAAAAAATTCAGTTAACTTGCATATCGATAGTAACCTTCAAATATTTATTTGTGAGTATGTTCTGTTAGGACAAATTAATTACCATCATTTAGCATTTAGAATGAGATGTTCGATTCCGCCAATAAACTTTCGCATTTTATGACGATGGAGATTAAAATTTCCTTCATCTTCTCGCAATATTCTATTTTGGCGATCGATAAAATAGAGAAAAGATAATAACAAAAATCAATAGAGAAGAGATAATAACAAAAATCTCAGTTTTGTTTGTAAAAGTATTTTAAATATTCAAAAAATATATATATATATATTTATACAAAAATTTTATTGCGACTTGGTTTTTCGTTTTTGACAAATAATAAAAGTTTACTGGAACTCTTAGAGGAGTTATATATTGAAATCTTTATATCTATTTTTAATTACATATCCAAATTCAGAGAATGTTATCTTCTGTGTCGAAGGTATTATAAAAATCGAAAATGACAGTCGTAACGACGGAAGAAAAAGAAGAAGCGGAGCAAAATCGACTCTGTTTCAAAGACACGCGTCAGAAATCGGTGCGATTAGCATTTTATGGGGATCGTGCGTATCCCGTGGAAACGTTTTATTGGCATGTGTCGTGCGAAGAAGCCATAGCCTCGTGAGCAACCTGCTCGCATCATTTTTTCATGTATATGGCCGGTGATTTCATGGCTTTACTCACTGTGCCAGTTAAGCCTCTTCCCGTCATTCTTTCCGTCTGCTATTCCATATTTATATGTACTTAAACATCATCGACGTATTAATTTAATAAGATGACGTCAGGAGCAATGAATTAAATATGTGTGAGTGTATGTATGTGTGCGTGTATGCATATGTGTGTGTGTGTGTATTTCTCTTAAAGAAGTATTCTCGTGTAAAATTTCGAAAAAAATCTATTTTTTTTGTATTTTCTTAAACAATATAGTTTCGAAAATATGTAATGTCATGATCTTATTGTATATGTGAGATAACTCGTATAATATATGCATCTTTACAAATAACTTATTTTATTGAAAAATAACAAGAATTATATATAGAAAATATTTATGAAATATATAATTAGTTAATAAAAATTTAATAAATATACTTATATACACTTTAGAGAGTATACTTATATACAATTCTTGCTACTTTTCAACGAACTAAGTTATTCGTAAAAGCGTATTATATGAGTTTTATCTTGCATACACACTAATGATTTAAGAGTATATGATTTATTTTTTACTTGATATCATTATTCCAAAAATGTATATTGCCTTTTTTTATATAAATTTTTTTATATAAGCAAATTTTTATGCATAATATTTAAATTTGATTAATAATTTTGATTTCTATCTTCATACATATGCTCTTAAATTAATGTGTATGCAAAATAACTCATATAATACATGCACTTTTACAAATAATTTGGTTCATTGAAAAAAATAGCAAGAATTATATACATATAAGTACATTCTCT